GGTGGTGGTATTGGAAATAGGTGATCTTAAAGTCCTTTCCAACCCTAACTATTCTATGATTCTATGGTCAAATGAATAATGTTGCTTCCCCATAGATTTTTTTTTTCTATTTTGGTGTGCTGTTTCCCTAAATAAAGGAACTTATTTAAACAAAGGAATCAGTTACATTAAGGAGACTATATAAAATTACATTTAAATTACATTTAAATCATGTGATTTTAATTTTGCATTAAACCCATGTGTTTCACATCACCTCAGAATCCCTTGGAACAGCTTGCCCCCATCCATGCTCCTTTGTCTGTTTTGATTTTCTATATCATATCCAAATGTGAAACAATCTGCAGGACTGGGCACTTTCAATACAAGCTCTGTAAATAGACATAAAGATAGCTTGGATGTTTCACGTACCCCTGTACTTGGCTAGAATCCCATTATTTTGAGAAAAGCCACCTTTTGAAGCAGTACATCAAGAAATGCCAATGTTGGAAACTGATAGGGAAGGCAGAGTAATTTATACATATTCAGGTTGTCAGCAAATGGAGCAATTATCCTGATTGCTATGTTATAAATTGTTACTGCTGTCACAATTTATAAGAAAGTATAATGGCAAAAATTATGTATAAACTAAAAAGACAAAGATGAGGGGAGGAAGAAGCCATCTCTTACCTGTGATCCCCCACTTCCAAGACAGGAGACTGACTCTAGGAACAGTGGGAGGAAGGAAGAAATTTCTAAAAAAGCTATTTCTTCCCACAACATGTCCTGAAACAAACCTATAGTTTCGGGTTCCGAAACTGAAATCTATAGGTTCATGTTCAAGACTGAACATTTCTTAATTCTGAATTAGATAGGGTTCCTTTGCCCATGGTACAGGCTGTGTGGTTCAAATTCTTGGTAAAAGGTGACTGTTTCACATGGGGCTTACATAACACTATGTGGATCTTCATAATTCCGTAGAGTGACTGGACCTTTTTTGCCTTTGATTTCCAGGGTTTCTCTACTATGAGGACCTTGTTAGCTGTGTATCTAAGGCAGAAGCAGATGCAGTAAGCTTGATTGTCAAGAATACTGTGTGTATGTTTCTACCAGATGCTCTAGTCACCATAACTGGTGGTTTCAGGAGGTGAGTGAAAACAAATAAGGACACTTGGCTGTTTTATTCAGGTACACACAAAATCATGTTTCTGTCTTGGAAAAATCAAAAAAGTTTAGTGGGAAAAGGATTGTTTGTTTTCAATGGCTGTTTTTGTTGTTGTTGTTGTTTTGCTTGTTTAGTTTTGTTTGTTTGGGGGTTTTTTTTTCCTCCAAACAGGATAGCAATCGTATGATATTCCCAGGTTCCCATGTTTTATTACTATAAATGGTTAGTTTGTCAGAACAAAATCTATCTAAGAATAGCTTGCTGGAAAAATGATGTTTAGATCACATATTGTACTTGAACATTTTTTTGCTTTTCGTGTATCTGAATTCCTAAGGCTGAGAATATTGTAAGGCCATGCTTGAAAGAAAGATACAATAGCTTTAAGGCAATCTTTGTGGGTTTTGTGTTGTTTTTTCTTTTTCTTTTTTTTTCTTTAAGAGAACTTGGTCACATGAGAGTGAAATATGCTACGGTGGAGTTTGTAGTGTTAGAAGTATACTTTGCAGTAAACACTGACTAAAGCGAATATAAAGCGCTGACTAAATTGAACATGCAGTAATCTCTGTGTAGATTGGGTGATCTCAGAATTTCTTTCCTTGATGATTTTTGTTCCTAAAATCCAATCTGGAACCATTGCTCAAGGCATACACAATTAATTCTTTCAAGCAGTTGCTTGTGTCACTACTTGTAGTACATGTCATGCTCATAAACCAAAAATAACCTTAGCAAGCACCTTAAATCTCCTGCTGCTTAGTTTGTATGTAGCATTGGTAGGAAACCAACAGACGGAAGAGTGTTAATGTATCACTTGTGTGACATAACTGTGAGCCTAGATAGGCCTGCATATCTCTCCAGTGCTACATATATATATTATAGAATTCGTAATTGCTATATACATGCACAGTGACTGTGATGAATGTATTTTATCATCTTTGTGCCACCTAATGGTATTTATAATTATTCCTCATATGTTCCATATTTATCGTAAGAATGTTTGAAGTCACCAGCTACATAGTTTCTACAGACTCGTGTGGCTGATAAGAGGCATTAGGCTCAAGTATGAACCCTGACCAGAGATAAAATTTTATATTTAAAACCTCAAATGTCATCATTCTGAGAGTCCTTGTTTAAGAGGCATGTGATGTCAATCTCTTCTCATGGATGCAAATCATTCGGGGACCTTGTGATGCTAGTAACTTGGATGTAACTGATTAACACCTGTCCGGATGGGGCAGAGTTGCAGGACAGAACCATCAGCATGCTGAAAATTCACATTTTTTAGTGAAATGATGTATTTGTGAGCTTTGTCAGCAGCATAGTTGTTTGCAAAGTTTGAATCTCACTCATCAAATTTAAGGCTATTGTTTTGCTTAGTATTTCAGGGATATATGAAAGAGCCATTCTCTTTTTTAATTAAGAATAAACTTTTGTATCTCTAACTGGGTGTGTCAAACCAAAAGAGAAATTAAAGTATCTAATGATGCCTTCAGTGAGTAATCTTTTATATTAACTACATGCCTTTAAATAGACAGAGAATATATTATCAAACTAAGTTTCAAAATGTCAGTCCTAAATGATATTTTACTAGCCCATGGAAAACAAATGCTGCAGTGTAAGATCTGCAGAAAGCTTGATTAGACAGATGGAATTACCTTTATTAAGGACTTATATTTTAGTTACTGACCTAAAATAAAGTTGACTGCATCTGTTCCTTTTTTTGCCTGTCTTTTATAGTGGCAGTATACATTAAGCATGAAGCATGTGTAAGCTCACTAACTCACAGTTTTCAATTAACAAATTATTATTTGTTTCTTTCATCATTATGTAAACATTTTAATAAAAGAAGTAGGGAAATTTTATTAACCAAACAACTTGACTTCATTCACTCATACTTGTACACTAGTAAAATAAGAGAAAAAAATAGCTCATGATTGCTCTAATATATTAATTCCCTGGGACCCAGATTTGTTTTGTTTTGTATATTTGTTTCATAATTCAGAAAAAATAAGCAGTTGATTGTGTTATTCCAGATTTAACTGGAGATTTGAAAGTCATGAGAATCATAAACCTTACTTACTGTGCGGAGAACTGGATGAATTACAAGGAATGGAACTTCCATTTGCGATCTACAGTCATGGAGATTCAACAGGGTAGAGATGAACCATAGGAAAGTTACATTCTTTTTCCTAAACCTATCAAACACACACATGGCTGGATATATTTCATGAGTTACTAGACCTTTTCCATTAGATTCCTGGAATTTAAGGAAATTGCATGTTTCAGTATTTCTTTTAATTAAAATTAGGAAACGTAATATAAAATCCAAGTAAAGAATAGCTATTTTTGAAGCCCTAGCAAACCTTTTCATGGACTTTGGTTTGATTTAGCTTTCACCTTCGGTCTTCTGTGTTGCTTCTTGTACTCATCTTAATGCTGTTTGTGTGTTTCTAATTTATAAAGGCAGAAGATTCAAATGGGAAAAAAAAAAGGCCATAAACAGAAAGTGAAAATCAAATTAGTCCTTTGCATTTATGTGGTTGAATAAAAATACCAGCCCTACAAGTTGTTAGGGTAAGGAATGAAAATTGGGAAAGCTGATGAAATTTTATTGAGGACATACTTGTTTCTCTGACCAGTTGCATACAGTTTATTTCCTCTTTTGCTCTAACATTCTGTAGTTTCAGCTTAGGCCCCAAATTCTTTCTTCTACCTCTTGTCAAGGGTCATATTATTGAAGCAGACTTCAACATCTGCTACTTCCTTGAGGCCTTTTCTTTCCAAGTCTTTCATCTTTCTGCTTGTCTTCACAAAACAACAGCTCATGAAACATCTTTAATCAAAAGTCCTTTTCTTCTGTGTTTGGTTGGAAGTTTCAATAATACTACATTTGGTTGAAAACAACTTTCAATTCAGCTATCTGAATCAATTAAGGAATATAAAGACTTAAAAGAATTGAAATAAAGGGTTGTGATGGCAACCCTTCAGTATCTCCCTAATTTGAAATAATTCAGGATCAGAAATGAATAAACTAATGAAATCTGGATGAGTTTATTCTTTGTTACTCCCTTACAGAAAGACTTAGCTTTCTGTTCGTAAAACATACTCCTTGAGTTTTGGTTGGTATAGTTTCTTATGAGAGGTAGGGAGAATCATTTTTAAAAAATGTTTTTCTGACACTGATCTGGGTCATTTTGAAACAGAAATTACAACACTGAAATGTATGGAAATACAGAAATAAAACAGCTATTATTCTGAAATAAATCACATCCATATGCTGTGGAATGCATTTTGTTGGTCTATCTAGTGAGGCCTATCTGCTCAACTGTATAGAAGGAAGTATTGAGGATGCTGATAATGCAATACAAAGCATATCATGCATGATATCAGACTGAATTTGCCATGCAGTCTGTTTGAATCAGAAATTGGCATGGCATTATTTGTCAGTGCTTAGCCTCTCTTATTTTGAATTGCTGAGATTTAAGACTGCTTTCTTCTCAGTTAGTGAGACAAATTCTGAGGTTCAGAATAGCAACTCATATTGCAAGTTACAAAAGCCACTGAGGGTGGAGAAAAACCCCTTTATTTTAGCATATGACATCCCTGAGTAATACTGTGTATGTCCCAACTCTACCCAAGGCAGGAGTGTAGGCTAATGTGTGTTACCACTTTTAAAGAGAGTTAAACTGAGGACCTGATTATTTGTTTGCTTATTTGTTTTTTGTGATTGTTATAAACGTAATTTTACTCTGTGGAGAGAATTAATTGTTTTTCAGTAGTGATAGTGTTATCTTGTCTTGCATACATTACTACATGTTACAGAAAAATTGATTCCTATTAATAACATTAGCATTTCTACAGGATTGTTATAATGACAAATAGAGAACATCACACTAGGTTTCATGGCAGTGAAATTGGAGTTTTCTCCCTTTTTCCTGTAGCTCCCTGTTAGGACATGGCTTCACAGTGACTTCAAGAAAAGATTGTCATGGGCTGAATCATTACCACGACATTCTGCAAGAGTCTATGATTTTGTTAATTAGATTTAGCTACTGACATTTGGTTTTGCCACAAAAAGTGATCTAGGGTGAAGGCTTCTTGAGTGCATTATATAGTAGATAGAGGAAGCATTACTTTACATTAATGTACATATACATTAAAGTATGTGTACTTTACGGCTTCAATCCCTTTACTGGTTATATCCCAATACACATATCCACAAAACCCAAATTTCACTGAAGGATCTGGAACAAGAATTAAATACAATAATATGAATAAATCATCATGTTAACTTCATTTCCAGTATGGCTTTCTGTCCACCTTTCTGTATGCTTTGTCCATACAATTCACAAATGGTTTACAAATTGTTTCAGTTTTCTTGTGTTCTGTGTAGCACGCTCAAATAGTTGTGGTTAGGTCTGCAACAGTGGGATTGTATTGCTATGATGTGAGCACATAGTTACTATATCATCTATAGGCACTTATTTTTTAGAAGTTACCTAGGCATTCTATTGGTATTACAGTTTCAGTTCTATCTTAGACACACTTTTGTTAGCTTCTCTCATCTTTGCCTTAAGACAGAGTGAAATAGACTAAGGAGACATTTTGTTTTAGATAACTTTTCATATTGCAGTTCTTAAGAAGATGTTTAAGTGTCTTGGGTGATGTACCGAGCAGAATAACTAGTACCTATCCTATTCTTTGTAGAAGGCTAATTCCTCTATCCTGCATCAGTCTTCAGGGAAGTTTTGCCTCACTCTTTTATTATTGAATTCAGTTCTATCATGAGCCTAATTGTAGATCACTATCTTCTTGCTTGAATTTTATCTTATCTTTTAGAAATTGGGATTAGAGGCTCTGTAACATTTGAAGATAAAGATTGCTATTATAAAAGCAATGAAGAGAGCAAAGGACAGAGTTGGTGTTCTTGTCAGGCAACACTGCCATACTTTTGTATATTACAATGTGAAAGTTTTCCCTGTGTG